CGCTCGGAGCCTTTCCGATGCTGCCATTGAACCTTTACCAAAGGTATCTCTTTGTTACACAGGACCTTCATCTTTCACTTCACTATCGTTACGAGCCTCTCAGTACAATTCAAGCGCTCATCATCCTAAATATCATCCAAAGGGACCACTGCATCATAGTTCAACATGCACTTCCGCAACTGGGAAACATGGAAAGTGTTGTGGATCTAGCTAAGCTCACTCGGCGAATCCAACCAGTAGGCCACTCAACCTTCCCTAGCGATCACAAGAAACATTCCAATATACTGAGAACCTAGTTTTCCCATCTTTCGGAAGCGTATCATACGCTTTTAGGGTAAGACCTTCAGTAGAACCATATCGCCGACCAAAAACTCTAACTCTGATCGTGGCCGGTCGGCATAACTCTTCTACCGACTCTGAGTTGTCTGCAATCTCTACTCGATCTGCTGAATAAGCTCCTTGGTTTATAGAACTAAGTCCTCCCCATGACTCTGTGACCAACCTCCCCAAAACAAACTGGGGTACTAGATCTCTGACCATATAGGAGCTTAAAAGGCAGGGGCACCAATGCTGTAGTGATAATTGTTGTTGTAGGAAAACTCCGCAAGAGGTAGGTTGGAATTCCTACTCCCACCAAAATCTATTACACAAGCCCGCATCATATCTTTAAGTTTCTTGATGGTCGACTTACTCTGGCTTCCGATATGTGGATGATAAGAAGTACTAAAATGTAGCCTCGTACCTAGTTCCTCTTGGAACTTCTCCCAAAATCGGGAAGTGAACCGAACATCTTGGTATGATACAATAGAAACTAGAAACCCATGATGAGCAACAATCTCAAATACATACACATCGGCCAATTTCTCAGTCGAGGAACTCTCCTGGATGGCTAAAAAGTGGGACTTAAGGTCCTTTAAATAGGGTGCTACCCTAAAAATTAGAGTTTTCATGCACAACCTCAATTTGATTAGTTGGGGTCTTCAACTTGTTGAGTAGGTTGCATAAACCACGCGGCCTGATCAATTTCTACACGACGAGTTGGGGCCGCCAACTTGTCGAGTAGGTCTTAAATGATGTATAAAAATTCTTGAAATTCATACCTAGGAGTCAGGATGTTACTATTCTCCCCCAATTGAACTAGACTTTGTTCTTGAAGTCTGCTGCGGTGAACAACTCTGGATAATGCTCCCTTATATCAGCCTCCGACTCCTAATTCCACTCGTTTCTCATCCGATTCTCCCATGGTACCTATACCAAAGGTACCTTGTTCTTCTGTAGAACCTTCACTTTACTCTCTAGAGTGGTTACTAGCCTCGCCATGTAATTCATGCGCTCATCGACCTGAATATCATCTAATGACACCACTGTGTCCTCATCTAGTATGTACTTCCGAAATTGCGAGACGTGAAAAGTGTGGTGAATTTGACTGAGCTCCTCCGGACGATCCAATCTATATGCCACTTTACCGATCTTGGTAATGACCCAAAAGGCTCCGATGAATTGGGGACCCAACTTCCCCCTCTTTCTGAAGCGAATCAGACCCTTCCAGGGTGTGACCTTCAATAGTCGCATGTCACCAACCTGAAACTCCAACTCAGATTGGCGTCGGTTTGCATAACTTTTCTACCAACTCTGAGCAATTTGTAGCCGCTGCTTGATTTGTTGAATCCTCTTGATAGTCTGCAAAACTACCTCCATCCGACCCATCATCCTGTGACCAATCTCACCCTAACAGAATGTGTCACACTCCAAAACTGAAACCACGGAAAACGTTCTGGGGTGGAGGACGTCATGTACAGTATCACAACATAGAATAATAGTAAACAAGCAAACAACATCATCCATTGCATTAATAATGTATTTTAATACAATTTTTCTGACCAGTTTATAAGACACCAAAAATATGAATCCAAAAGAATATATGAGTCTTGAATATGCTCCATCTTCTCAAAAGCTGGCATCGATACCTGTCTACTGATGATCTGAGAATACAAGTTATTTTGAAAGATTTTATCAGCTTTAAAGCTAGTGAGTTCATAAGCATTTTAGTGTCATTATTTGTACGAAAATGTTTGTAAGTGTTTGAATGTATATGTTCTCAGAAGTTTGTAGATGTTTGTAAATGTTTGTATCTCCTAGAAAATACTATATTTTCTACTAAAAGTAGCCTTTTACCAAGGCCTGACTGTTTTGTATGTTCGTTTCTTCTAAAAGTGTGTAATTTTTGCAAGTGTGACTATCATTAACATAATATAATTTATACATTTCCAATTATGTGAGAATATCACAAAGTGAATGCAATGGGAAAATAATGTAGTACTGTAGTATTGTATTATAGTAACTACTGCTATATTAACTACCTTAAACTAGATTTTTATCAAGGTATAATGTGATTTAATTGTACCATACTATCGACTAAAAACACGACGATGAAAGATGTCAGAATTAATGACATTTGGCACCCGAAGACCTGCAGGTCCCACTGTAGCTAGCTGCAAGGTGTAGGATATTCAATTCAGTATAGATCTATACGCAAATTCACGCTCTCCCTCCAGGAGACTCTGGATACAAATCGAGCCATGGCAGTGATGACATGCCCCGAAACAGTGGTTCACATTTATGTTATAGTATACTTGTATATGTATTGTATGAACTAGTGTAGTGTATGTATTGTTTCTCGTTATAGTATTCTCTATCTATTTCTCTTCATAGTATGTTTGTATAGCCTCTCATAATAGTAATTTCTCTTAGTTTCTCAGCGTAGTATAGTTGTATAATTTCTCACAATAGTAAGTATTAACTCAAGAATGAATTGACTCTTTGTATGCTTCGTTGAACTAGAAATAATGAGTAGTATCTCCTTAAACTATACCTATTATAGTTTACTAGTAGAATTATTTGTATGATTGAATGTATTAACCAGAGATAAAAGCCTTTACATCTATACATATATACATAATATATAACTAAGGATTCAATGACACTCAGACAAACAACAGGGTACTCTATGTCCACAACAAAATAAGGAACATGAAATAAAGTGAGTTGTCAGTCCTAAGTCCTTCAAACCTTACTTATATAACTATATATGTAATAGACATGATTTTGACAATTTATAAGTTTGAAAGCTATAAAAGAAAAGGTTTAGCATATAAAAGTGAGTTTGATAGACAGTTTGAAGTAGTTTGTTTGCTAAAACAGTTAATAGCATAGTAAATCTATTTGTTTAATAGTTATTAATCACATGTGATTGATATAATAACTATAATATTTCAACTTGTATCCCCCCCCCCCCGATAAAAGCATTTTAAATCATTTAAAATGGTGCTTAAGGGGTATGAACTCACCTGTAGTGAGTAACTTGGATGAAAGATCGATATAGGATTATTGGGTGTCAGTTGGGGACTTAAGCATAACCAAGTCCTATTAACCGTAATGATATATATATATATATATATATATATATATATATATATATATATATATATATATATATATATATATATATATATGTACAAAATTAATGCATATAACAACTAATTATTGAATTGGAAACACCTTAGGGACTTGTAAACACTTATTTTGAAGTGTTACAACCATATCTGATTGTATATAAAGGGTATATGGCTTTACAAGGGAGGGTATGGTCTAAATACACACTATTTGTGTGTGTGTGCAGCAGGGTGTGCGGCCAGGGTGTGTGTGCGGCCGCACACTCCCCATGAAGTGTGCTAAAACACAGTTTAGGGCCTTAGGACTCATCTAGGAAGGTATCTTACTTCATGCTCTAGCGTTTTATGGAGTTCATTGCCATTTTTGGGCCTAAAAAGGGTGTGTGCAGCCACCATGAAGGTGTGAGGCCACACACCCTTTATGAAGATGATAAACTCGAGTTTTTCAAGCATACCATCAATTGTTCTTGGCATATAACAAGGTATAACAAGTACATACACGTTATAGAGGCTTGAAAAGGGTGATTAAGGTCCAAAAATTAGTGTGTGTTCTTGGTGTTTTTGAAGATCTAACACTAAAAAGGTGTTTTCATGGATCAAATCAAAGGGGAAGGCTAGTTAAGGTCATGTAATAGCAAATCAAGGGATAAACCACTTACTTGTTTGAAGATTGGAGTGAAAAGTTGGATGATACTTAAGAGGATTTCGAGTTGTAGCCTTGAAGAATTGGGAATAGTGTTCAAAATGACTAAGTGTGGTATATATAGGTAGGAGTGTGTGGTTGGAATGGGTGTGCGGCCGCACACACCTATGTGTGGCCGTACACTCAAGTGTGCGGCCGCACACTCCATATGTTGTAGTGTTTGGCCCAAATTTGCTTGATATGCATCGAGTTATCCCACTTCTAGGCTCCTTCTTTAATTGTACTAAGTTTAGAACACTCAAATAGACCCTAAACAGTGCTAAAACGTAGCAAAATGGTTCTAACTTTGATCGAACAGATGTATTGTACACGATAGAAATTTCGGGTTGTCACAGAATGGGGTTCAACATCTCTGTCCATACAACAATTTAAATGGTGGAACCAATACTAGAATGAAAGCTGCTTTTTTAGGAGATAACTGCAGGAGGTAAGTAGGAGTCCCAACTCCCACCAAATCCAATAACACAGGCCCACAACATATCCTCGAGGGTATGTATGGTCTGCTCAATCTAGTCGTATGTATGCAGATGATAAGCTGTACTGAAATGCAACCGTGTGCGTAGTTCCTCGTTAAAATTCTGCCAGAAACGATAGGTGAATCGAACATCACGGTCTGATACAATAGAGACCGGTACCCCATGGTGA